GAGAGAGAGAGAGAGATTTGAGAACCTGATCTCGCGGTTGAGCAGAATTTTGATCGGCGATTGCTAGATAGACCCAATTGAGCAAATGGGGCGAATAATGTGGTTGGTGAAGAGGTTTCCGACCTTGGCTACCGAGAGCGTTCATAGGTCCAAGGCCGAATTGAGATGATTCCTGTGGTTGCAAATGTTGAATCGCCGGTGTTGGATGGCAAGCGGCCATAATCAGAAATTTACCGTCCTCCCACGTGTTTTTCAAATTTAATTCTCATCTTTTCCATGCTTGAGAAAATATAATAATTGTTTGTTGGATATATTTGGAAAACGACATTACATTATTATTATTATCGCTCATTTTTATCGATACACATCGAATATATTTACGAATCACTGAAATGAAACAAGAAACGTTCTCGATGCACTTATCGGTAACTGACTATTTCGTTTAAAAATACGAATTCACCCAGTAACCAGCCAGTTGTTTCCCAAGATTAATTTAAGACCTAAGACACTGAGATACACGACGATCATTTGATCATTAGATCATTGCAGGATTTGCACGGATTCTTGCTTTTCGTTCTACGATACGCTTTTCTGCCTGCTGCCGAGTAACATGTCAACGAGTAACATGTTTTTTCAAACAATCTATTCGTATGGATGTACATTACAATAATGCAACGTCGAAGAATTGGCAACGTTTCCATTCGAAACTTCACTTCGAACTGTCTTCTGCGTTTCGATGTTTTCACGAAATATGTAACATCACGCCATATGTAATTGCTTTACGTGATAGGTTCATTTAATTTTACGTTGTTTTTTTTTTTTTTTCTTTTTTTTCGAATTCACCTCTGTGCGCGCTTTTATACGTTATCGTAACAAAAAGTTATTCGTTAAACGTTGGAGCGTTTGAAAATCTCAAGGTATGAAAATATTTTTCGCACTTGAAAATGATATCAGATTCCCAGATTATTTTATTTTATTTTCTTCTTCTTCTTCTTCTTCTTCTTCTTCTTCTTCTTCTTCTTCTTTTATTATTCTCGTTTCACGATTATGACCTCACGATTATGATCTTGGAAGATTTCAAATCACTTTTTTTTCATTCAAAAAATATTTATCTTATTATATACGAACTTCGATTATCCTTTTATGTATTCTTTGCCAATGATAGAGGATGGAGATACCGATAACGATGGCGATGATGATGGAGCGGTCGATTGGTTCCGGTCGAGTTGCTCTATCCTTATGCTTCTTCTTTCGTCTCGAACAGAATCAATTCGGATGGAAAGTAAAAATTGGTCGGCGTTGACAATAAATCAGCAACGATAACCGCGTGTTGCCGCGCGGTAAGTATCGATGTTAATATACGATTTCACAGAAAATTTTCGTATTTCCGGAGTCGACAATTGCGTTCGTTCGCGAAGGGTCTGTCTCTAGTCTGAACATCGACAATGTTCCACGATCCGCGTATACGTAAAAACGCATACACATGAATCTAACATCAGCGTTAAAGAGACCCCCGCCATGTGGTGCAGCTATTTCAGTGCTTGCTATCTATCGAACAGCTTGCCACCGAGTACGAGTACGAGTATTGCTCGAACTTTGCCTCCAACATCTTTACTTACGGCAAAGATTCTCGCTTCCAGCATCTTCCAGCGAATCAAGCTCTTCGTGTTGACGATCAACACGATCAAAATTTCTCCTTCTTATAAATATACCGCCTTCTCAACAGAATGGAAATTAGGTAATTAAAGAATTTATAAATTGAAATTAAATTTCAATTTCGTTACATACTCTCGTTGTTTAATATTAAACGATCAAGACGTTTTATTGACACAAATTCTTTTTCTTTGTAGATGGAATTTTTAACCAATGTTTTACATCGATCACCGCATTATTGTTTATCTAAATTTTGAATCTTAAATGATGAATTTTAATATTTTCAACCCTATCTACCTATTTATGATGTAACTATGTGAAATAGATTTAATTTTCAATAGAACTCGAATCAATTTCTCGAAATCGTGAATTCGATAACATGATCAAAATTTGATCACGTTGTATCACGTTGTACGTATTAAATATATATAATTACTTTTTAATCTTCTGTGTGTAGATGATCGACAGTTATTATAATTAAAATAAATTTTGCAAAATTTATTTTATATACACATAAATATTCTTTCTTGATGTTTGTTTTATCATTTTATTTTTTTTTTTACTTTGTGTTATTTCCTTATATTTGGCATTATTGTTCGCACATATGTACGAGTCATGATCGATTAACCTATCCTTGTTTTTCAGAATGAAGATACTATTTACTATCGAAGTCGATATCGAGATATATCGAATGATTTTTCTTTTTTTAAGAAACATACGATAAGGAACATATGGTAAGTAACTATCCATATGATGTAAGTAAATACATACGCAAAAAAATATGTAGAATAAATTCTAAATCTTTGAAATTTGATAGAAAACAGTTATGTTCTGCCGAGGAAAGAAACTATAAAAAAGGAAGAGAAAATCGAAATAAAGTTAAGACGAATTTTTAAGCATTTTTAAGACAAGATGGATAAATACGAGATGATAGAAATCGTAGGAGAGGGAAGTTATGGCATGGTGATGAAATGCAAGCATCGCGAGAGTGGACAATTTGTAGCCGTTAAGAGATTTCTTGAAACCGAGGAAGATTACGAAGTGCGAAAAATGGTATTTCGAGAAATCCGAATGTTGAAAGTACGTCATATATATTCCTTTTCTTTTTTTCTATTCTCTCTCTCTCTCTCTCTCTCGCTCGCTCGCTCGCTCGCTCGCTCTCGTTCTCGCTCTCGCTCTTTCTTCTCCCACCCTCTCTTTTCTCATATTAATTCGCCTCTTGTGAGAATAAGAAGCATATTTACAGAAATTACGCCACGATAATCTAATAAATATGATCGAAGTATTTCGTCGAAAGAAACGATTTTATCTCGTATTCGAGTATTTGGATCATACTTTGTTGTACGAATTGGAAAATGTTGGAGGACGCGGTTTAGGTTTGGAAATATCCAAACGACATATTTATCAAGTCCTTCGTGGATTGGACTTTTGTCACGGTAATAACGTAAGTGTCATCGAGAAATGTGTAAAAATTAATATATATATATATATATACGTTCGAGCGTTTAAATTTTTCGATTTAAGATTACGTTTGGAGAAAAGATCGATCTCGAAGAATTGTAACGATTCCGATCGATCGTCATTTTTTCATTTCATCGATAGATAATGCATCGTGATGTGAAGCCAGAAAATATCCTCATATCTTCGAATGGAGTGGTGAAGCTTTGCGATTTTGGATTTGCACGTTTTGTAAATAGTCCAAACGAGTCTTGCACGGATTACGTGGCGACAAGATGGTATCGTGCCCCGGAATTGTTAGTCGGTGATCCTCGATACGGCAGACCGATAGACATTTGGGCGGTAGGCTGTTTGTATGCGGAAATGGTGGTCGGGAATCCTTTGTTTCCTGGTGATAGCGACGTAGATCAGCTCTATCGAATAACCAAAATACTTGGTAATTTTGTAATTTATCTTTTTATCTTTACCGTATTAATTATTACGTGCGAAAAAGAAAGAAAGGAAGAAAAAAAAAAGAAAAAAGAAAAAACACGGATCCTTTGTCCGAGAAAGAAACATGGAACGTCTAAAAGAATGTGTATCGTTTTAGGAGGATTATGTATGAAGCATCAAACTTTAATGAATCATAGCAGACCTGGTCAAATATTGCGGCTTGCGAGCGCGGATGAGCTGATAGGACCACCTCAGTCCGGTCTTTTCTCGATTCGTAAATTATTTCCCAAATGGGATATAGTCGCCATCGATTTTTTGGCTCAATGTCTTCGTATGGATCCCGACTTAAGATCAAAATCTTTCATGCTCTTGGAACATCCGTTTTTTATGCAAGATCGATTTGTCGATAAATTTCTTCTAGTTTTGAGAGAAAGTATCGATATAGAATCTTCTATGAATCCTTTGTTCAATAAAATATTGAGCGAAAAAGAGCCGAGTGTTTTTACGAGTTTGTTCGAATCATCGTCGAAAACTATTTGCCAACCTTCTTCCAGGTCTTTATCCCGTAATTATTAAATCATCAATTGATTAGGGATGATTTATCGTCCGAGATTATTCTTTTTTCATTCTCTTTATTTCTTCTCTTTATTTTTTTCCCTTCCCCCTATAGATGGCACATGCATACCATTATCACGAAAGATTTAAACGACAAAACGAAGTCCGAAGCGATAGATACGATGGAATTATGCCAAACTTTGTCACCGGTGCGCATCGATTCCTCACGAAAAGTTTGTAACATCGACACCATTTCCGTCATACCAAATACAACTTATATTCGTAAAGTAAAGCAGAAAGGAATTGTCGTTACGCATGATTATTAAAAGATTATCACGTTATAGCTTTTTTGAAACGTTCTACGATCGTCCGAGTAGAGACGATAATAAAAGGAAGAGAAAAAAAATACGTGTATTTATTAAGGAAAAGCAAGATCTTAAATAGATACTTTAACTCCGTTTTCGCTTAATATTTGCAAACGATTAATAAAATTTGTCTCTTTATCGATGAAAATGATATATCTAGTATATACTTGCTTCTCAAATTCTGTAATATCATATATACATATATAAATATCGCTTTGATTACATATATATATATATATATATATATATATTTGCAAATGAAAAGGAAAAAAAAAATATTCTAGATTTTTATGTTACGAAATATAAATACTTGTTAAACGTTATTAGATTTGTCTTAAAATATCATGACAATTAAAAAAAATTATTGATATATTATTAATAACAATTGTAATAGTAAATATCGCAAGAGTGTCGATGTAAGTAGGAGATTTTGTATTGAAATTGTATTGTGGTATAAGCTTAAAAGAATTTACAATATAATTTGCAATTACTGATTATTTTATATATTTATATTATGCATTTATTTAGTGAAATTTTTAGTCGTCTCATGGAAAATTTTCTCGTCAATGTGAGAGCAATGCTTGTTCTTGTTCTATTCGATCGTATCGTATTCACAACATTATCATACAATATTGTAGAATCTCTTGTCGTCGAATAATTTAAAACATTTTTAGTAAGTAAACACGTGATAAAAATGAATCTTTAAACTAATTAACCTGTTTTTTTTCTGTTGCAGGTTTTAAAAAATCGTTTCGAAAGAAATGTATAGAATTACAAATGGATTTATATTTATCAATTGAAATTTAAAATAGATATGCATGTATATCTAGCGAACAATATTTGTAAGAATATTTTTTCTATTATCTTAGTAATTACGATTAGAATATTTTGAAAATTAGACGCAATTATATTTTGTTATTGTTATAAAGATTGCAATTTGTGGATTGTTTAATACTATAATTTCTATAATATAGGTTCAGAAGAAATTCGAAATGTAATAAAGATACAGAGAAAAAGAATTCGGATTCCTTTTCCTAAAAACAAGATAAGATTTTTTTTTTCCTTTAATCACGGGGAGAGATTTCACGATATTTTGTTTAAATAATTGAAGCGATAATAGAAGCGATTGGTAATATACTCGAATAAATTTAATTATAAAAAAATAATATAGAGATATTTTTTTGGCGTCTAAATATAATTTTCTAAATGTAAAATATTATTTAATGTTATTAATGTTATTAAAATATTATTTTGTCGTTTTTTTGTTTCAGACAAAAAGAAAAAAATAAGAAAAATGTGAAAGAATCGACGATATTCTTCGACGAGTATTTCCGATCGATTGGCACCGTTATATAATATTGATATTAATTTTAAACGAGTTTCATAATCAATTTCACTTTTCACGAATAAACGTTTCGTGTTATAAAAATGTGAATAGTGTAATTTTTTAAACTTGAGTTAGTTTGGTAAAAAAAGAGTGAAATTTTGAATTTGAAAATAAAAGAAATGAAAACAACGAAGAAACGTAAGTTTGTAACCAAAGTAAAAATTTTAATGAAAATATATAATAGAGAATAAGAAATTCTAAGACGTTTTAAAAATTGTTTGTCTTATAAATAAATATTTGACACATAAATAAATAAAAAAAAAACGAATGAAACATCAAATACACTTAATATTTTCAGAATTTTACGAATTAAGAATTTTAATAATTCTGAAAAATACATCTCTTTTTTTCGCTTTTTTTTCCAAAGAAATTCTTTTTTTCTAGCTTTTCTTAGCTTTTCTTAGCTTTTAAATGTATTTTTGCAATATTTTTTTCATTTTGGAACATTCGCCCTATGATATTAAATACTTATTTACTTAGTTCCGTATTTCCGTTTACATATATATATATATATTTCTCGTATGTTAAGCAAGATTCGAAAAAAAAATTTCTCGGATTAACGCCATCTCATGGATATTGGATATTGAAACCTTTATTTCATTATTAATAAAGCAGAATGTGTAAGAAGATTAGAAATGAAAAGGAGAACAACATTGCAAGATAAAGATGGAGATGTTGCTAATTTTTGCTTTTGATTATGTTTTCTTCCTAGGTATTTCCTACCATTTCGAAGACGCGATGTTAAAAATTAATTAATTTATTAATTTTTTTTATTAATAATAATATTTGTACATCTTTAGATTCGCATTTGAAGTTAAAAATCTTCTCGTGTTGAATTCTTTTTAACACGAAATTTTCTTATTTATTAATAATTAATTAGTAGAAAATGTCTCTCAAATTTTGTATATTTCATAATCGAATGATAAACGAGATTAGATTGATTCGTTCAAACAACAACAACAAAATTATTAATTATTCGAAAGAAGTAATGATTAAAGAAGAATCATAATTTTCATAACGTTCGTAATTTATATATTTTTCGTATTTAAAAATGATTTTCATAATAATAATAATAATAATAATAATAATAAATAAATAAATAGAACATGTATTGCGCGATGTGCCGTATTAATTCTTACCTAATAATTAATTAATTAATTAATCGAAAAGAATCTCATGTTTCAAATCGATATGGAAAAATTATTTCGACATTGTTTCAACTTTAAATTTAATATAATATAAAAGCGAAGAAATTTTTAATCGAATAATTGATTAATTAATTCACAATATCATATATTCGAAGTAATGGAGTAATGGGAAATATAGTAAGTAAATAAATACCTAATTTTATTATTTTTGTTTCTTAACCTATCGATTAAAAATCTTCATAAAATCTATTCGATCTAATTTTTATATATCGTAATAAATACATATACAAATTTAATTTATTTATTTCTGTTTTTATATGTCATATAAATTTTATATATTGTAAAAATTATATATTTTACATGTAAATCAATTTTTTTCTATATTATATATATAAAAAGAATATAAAGGATATTTAGATATTTTTATGTATATTTCATTTAATTTAAAAAGATTCGATTATAGATAAACTTGTAGATCGATTTGTAATATCGATCATTTTAATTTTATTTTTAATATAACGGTCTAGATTCCATTTCTTTTGCGTTATTCGCGAGTGTGAAATAAAATAGAGAACAATATTATAATTTCGATTTATAGATAGCAATAGGAAGACGCCAAGACGAAGATAGATTCTTTAAACGCGAATTGTTTTTATCTGTTTTATTTATTCGTCTCTCGTGGATACAGAAGTTTTATTTTTGGTATAGAATTTTAATTACAATATTCGACATTATTTTATAAAAGTAAATACAATTGTATATCGTTAACAATAATAATGCGCGTAAATCGATTAACACACGCTTCAAACGTTAGCTAAAGCATTCACGTTCACCGGTAGGAATAATTATAGCTAATACGTTTACTTAGATTTAATACAATATTAATTACAAAGGAAGCTGATCGCGAACGTTTCGAGATTTATGTACAAGATAATAGAAGCAGAGATCTTAATTCGAGACAAATTTATTTAAGTATGTTATGTATATGCACGAAACGATTCGCGATCGCACGAGCAATGAGATTTTCATGCACGCTCCTCCGTTTTTTCATTCTCGATCGCTATCCCAGTTATATATGCATATTTATATATACATACATATATATATATATATATATATATAACATAGATATTCAAAACTGGATCATTATTATACGCGAAATTATCGATTTAGAATTGTAATCTAACATTAGTTTATTATTTATCACTAAAAGGGAAACAGAGAGAGATTTGGAAAGACATGCAGATATAGGCAAATGTGCAAATAGACACAAGCGATCGGACGGACAGATGGACAAACGTACAAAGAGAGAAGAAGAGGGAGAGGGAAGGCAGAGAGAGAGAGAGAGAGAGAGAGAGAGAGAGAGAGAGAGAGAGAGAGAGTAGGAGGAGGAGAGAGAG